TGGCGGCGACGACAACCTTGTGAAGGTGTGGGATGTAGAAGCGATGGAGGCTAATGCTTGAGTACGCACCCGCTCTGCTGCATGTGGATGTGGCTGACGTGACGTGGTGTCATAGAGCACGATGATTTTCGTGATATACATGTATCGCGAGCAGTTGTCTACGGTGTTTCCATTGCAGCCGGATGTGGCTTACGAGGCCAATAAGCTGCACGCTTTGGACTGATTGGACGAGAGTGGAGTGAGGCTGGGAGATAGTGGCAGCCTTTGTCGTACCCTGCCAGCGATATGTCAAGAATGCAATATGATGTTCGGACATGTGCGCGGTATTGACGAGTCTTTCATGTACTCGACGTGGGGTGTTGGCATGATCTATCACTCGGAGACGCAGGGCGGGTAATGAAGACGTGTACTCTGAGCAACTCGTAGATGAATGACTATGAACATCCTGTATAGCAAATTAACCTGGTCTACCGATATCGTCCGGTGGATGATGCGTACCAATACGAGGACCCGAAAGAGGGTCATGTTCTGCCACATGTATGGTCGTCCAGTGATCAGGTGCACAACGTTGCATCGGTAGGGGCCCGCTTTGACCGAGGTTCCGTTGATTAATTTGCGGATACGTCAGCTTCATCGTTTCCAAAACGAGAGGGCAACACGCGACGGCGACTGGGTGATTGACCTAGGGGCAACAGATGAAGTTGTGAGCGAAATACGTGGGGTGGTCCATCGGCGAAGAAAGCACTTGGTCCACAACGACGGAACGCCTCACGACCGTCGGTTGGATGAGCGATGTTCAGTTAGCGTCGGGAGGTGATCGATGGGCTGTGAACAGGCATCGGCGGAGACGCATGAGCACTAATGAAGTGCACCACATCAAGGAGACGAATGGCAGCGAAAAAGGTATGCTGTATGACTGTTGTCGCAGCGTAGAATGAAGAAGATGTGTGTGCCAGAGGCCGGGACACGGTGGAGGAAGAGGCGAGGGTGGTTCGGCGGTACGAGCCAGTGCGTACTTTTTGGAACGCGAGGTGCCGATGCAGAGTCCGTCGCCTTTCTCCGGCTTTCCAGGTGCTGATCCGGAAGCTTGTAGGGGAACGCGCAAAATGTGCGAACAGCGGAGGTTCGGGATTTCGTAGGTTGACGTGCGCCAGAGCATTGTCGCCGAGGAGTGCCTAAAGCCCACAATGAGCACGCGTACCGGACGTAGAGAGGATTAAACCCGCAGGAACGTGCTTACTTTGGCCCATATGGGGCATGTATGTCACACATCCGTGTTCATAGGACCAACAACAAGGGGACGTATGACGCTCGAGCGTGCAGTCCAGATCGAGTAAAAGGCAGACGCAGTGTCATAACCGACTCCAAGTGTTCCGGTGTTCGCAAGCGGCGGTCGGCTGAGCGTCGTAGCATTGAGGGCGGGAAGACCAGTTGACCGGCGACTCCAGGCAAGTTCGACACCAAGTGTGACGTTCTGCGAAGATATCTTTTGAGAGGGAAACAGCTAATGATGGGAGCACCTAGACTGCACGCCGCGAGCTCGCGCTCAAGGATGGAAACTGGATGCGAGTTACCAGGAGGTCCGAGAGAGCTCGACGAGCGGTCTTTGTTCCCGAGCTCGGCTGCTTGCCGTGACTGTTCACGCAACTCTCGCTCTCGGTCGCTAGATGGCCAAGGATAGATCCTGTTGTCCTCGTCTCGGACTCCCCATCGATGAAGCTCTTAACGTCAACGACAACCGTCTCGATCTGACTTCTCCACCCCATCCATCCGCAGGGCTCCTGGGCCTGCTGGCGATCCTCCTGAAGAATTAAGCTCAGAGATCGTCACAACACCAGATTTTCCTCAAACTCCAAAGGTGCGGATATCAAGGTCGTCCGGTTTCCCCTTTCGCTTATTTGGCCCCTTTCGCAGCTGTAACGAACACGCATATGCAGTGCGCCGATCAAATCGGGCCCTTCCCCGCTTCTCATACACCTCGAAGCGTTGGACACTGTTCAGGCACATATCCCGGGCACGTCGACGCTACCAGGGCAGCTGCTGCAAGTCCAACTCCCGGCACCCGTTCTCCGCCAGCAAGAATCGCCGACAGGATGCGCATTCACACCTCGCGTACTGCGCCGACTCCATCCCGCTCGTACAAGCAGCTGCGCACACACTCCATCCCGACGGGCGCATCAGCAGCAAGTACCGAAAAAGGGGTGGAGAACCGATGTCCACGCCTCGTAGGCTCCGCGTATCCGATGGGCCCACACATCCTTGACGACCGTCGGCGCACTTGGCTTTCGATCCGACCGCGTCCCCTTCAGCACAGCAGGATGCCCACCGCAACGCTCCTTCTCCTCCAGGCATACCTCCTTTGTGCGCGACGGCGACGCCACATCGCAGGTGTTTCTTCAGCCCCGTTTTCGTCCACGTCTGTGCCTCATTCCGCCCGTCAGGCCGGTCTCCAAGCCTCCTCCACATGAAGTCTATCCCGTTCGAGCGTTGGCGCATCCCATGCGATGCGCTGTGCATTACCGGGCGCTGCGCGCCATCACCGGCTACGTACGCAAGGTTCAAAATAAAAGCATTTGCTTCGTCTCCTAGTCGCCCGCACCCTTCGCCTTAACACACGGCTATGACGCGGCGACGTCCGAGGGCGACCCTGCCACCAGCCCAGCGAAGCTCGAGCAGCGCGCACGGCCACATGGGTTGCGCCCCCAAGACGCGGAGCCGGATGGATCGCGGACGTTTCCCGGTGCAAGAGGGGCTACGCTGCCTACGCATGGCGGATGCCGTCGGCCTTGGGGTCTTCGAGGTCGCCATGATCCGCGTGCAGAGGATGGCTTGTCGTCTCGCCTGTGTATGTACCAAGGTTCGTCCTCGTATGCATATCTGCGTCCCGTTCTTTCGATTCGCTGACGAACTGCACACGTTCAGGCCTTGCCGAGCGAAGCGACGTTGTGTCGGGTATGTTGACGCTCACCGCGGTGATGCGCCTCCGAGTCCATCGATTGAATACTGTCCTTGCCGGCCCCGATGCTACGCTCCGTTGCGACTCTCCACTTTTGCAAAATCCCGATAATGCGTCCACGGAGACGTGCAGCAGATCAAACGACTCGTTCTCGAGCATGGCGTCTGCAAGGCTGTTCCGCGACCGGAGGAGAACGAGGAGGGATATTCTACGAAGAACGGCATGGGTCGGGCGCGGCTTTTGCGAATCCGAGCGAGAGATTCGTGTTACCAGGTGGACGTCAAGACGCGTAGGCACCGCTGGCCTTCAGCGCAAAGGACGAATGTGCGGTCATCAAAGACGTGCTCTTGGGACTCGAAGTGCCGTGATCGAGGTGGGGCGTTCAACCGGACGAAGGCCATTCTCCAGGATGACTCCCCTCTACACCCACCTACGACATCGCTCAAACATAAGCGCGGTCCGCGTGCTTCTACAACGTCGAGAAAAAGAAACAAGACCTCCATCCTCGATGAAAACATTCCGCATCAGCTCCCGTATCCGCATCCCTAGTACCTATCCAGGGTGCTGTCGTCAGCGTCATACGATCCGCGGCGTATCAGGCCAGCACTGGCCATCACCACGGCACCCTTTCAAGGCATCGAACTTCACAAAGCTCCCTCTCGGCTTTGAGGTCTGCCGCTGGCGCCTCGCGGTCTGTCGTGTCTGGTACTCCACGGGCTCGTGTCGTGGCAATAGCTGTGCTTTTGTCGAAGTAGCAACCTGTAATGCACCGAACAATCACGTTCACGCGCGTGTTACTCATTTCTCGTCATGCGCCGCTCAACGGCCTCCTCGGATCGCATCGCGTCCAACTATCGCACGGGATCGTATATTTTCTTGGTTGCGCCTTTTCTGCGCGGGCGCTTGTCTTCTTCCACGCCATCGTGCACAGCATGATAGCCGCCGATGCTCTCGCTGAACCGCACCACGACGACCTCCTGAATACCCGGGTTTAAGCTGGAAGGCATGCAACGGACCGTCGAGCAGCGAACCTCGACTATACAGGCTCACGTAGATGCTCTTGACCAAGTGGGTTCTCAGTCGCGCAAGCCCGAACCAGCGGTTTCCTGAAATGTCATGCAGCAACTGGACTCGCTGTCTCGGACGAGTCCAGCCTATCGGAGGACCTTACGCGAGCTCAGATCGGTGTGCGGAAAGAACGGAATGTTGCCAAGATCGTGTTGGCTGTTGGATCCTATCCGATCTACCGATGAAGGCCCTCGCTCGTTCGGAGGCTTTGCGGACGTTTGGCGGGGCACGCATAACGGGGTGACGGTCGCGTTGAAGCTCATGCGACTGAATTACGGTGAACAAGCGGAATTTGGTAAGGTTTGTGATTCCCGTGGGGCCGTCACCTCTGGCTGCATTTACAGAGACACGGGTGAACTAGGTACTCTGCAAAGAAGTCGTCATGTGGCGGAGACTTTCGCATCCAAACATTGTGCCATTTCTGGGCGTAGCCTATTGGCGTCAACGAATATGCATCGTCTCGCAATGGATGGAGCACGAAGACGTGATGTCCTACCTCAAACGTTTCCCGCAGGCAAATAGATTAGCAATGGTCTGCATCAACCTGTCGAGGGCGCTGCTACACAAGCTGAGAAAGTTCTCAGATCACAGACATCGCCCGTGGATTGAAGTACATGCACGAGAGTGGGGTCGTACATGGTGATATGAAGCCTGTGAGTGGATATCACTAAGATGCATCGTGGAAAAATTGACATGTCCCACAGCGCAACGTTCTCATAGACAGTGCCCGTCGCGCACGATTGAGCGACTTTGGTTTAGCCGTAACCGCGTTCGGGACACAGTCGCTTGCCCTAGAATCTGGGACCTCCTCTCATTCGGGTACCGTACGATACATGGCTCCCGAGCTCTCCGACCAAAGGGCAGAGGGCCAGGGGTTAACGAAGGAAGCGGATGTGTATGGATTTGGGATGACCTCATGGGAGGTATGGCATGACTTACGTGGGCGACGTACGCGGAATCGATTTTTTTTTTCAGATATTCGATGGCAGGATCCCCTTCCCTGAGCTACGATCCGACTATGCGGTGCTGATTAAAGTCCAACGAGGTGAACGGCCGTCTCGCCCAGCAGTGGAATTGGTAGACAATGTGTGGGCGTTGATGAAGGCATGCTGGTGTGATGATCCATCAGCGCGACCTTCCTCGACGTACATTCTCACTCAACGTGAGGGCCCGTATGACACTCGATATTGATTCCAGATGTGCTTATCATTATCTCCAGTTTCAAAATACGTGGAACCGCGGTTGACATTACCGGCAGAGTTGCGTGGCCATACTGCATGGGTGCACTCTGTTGCGGTCTCCGCGGATGGCTCACGGATTGCCTCAGGTTCCTGGGACCAGACGATTCGGATCTGGAATGCATATACAGGCGAAGCGATAGTCGAGCCACTCACAGGCCACACGGATGAAGTTCTCTCCGTTGCATTCTCCCCCCACGGAAAACTCCTAGCTTCGGGCTCAGTCGACCATTCCGTTCGCCTATGGGACACCGAGACCGGGCAACAGGTGGGGCAGCCGTTACTCGGCCATTCGGATACGGTGCGGTCCGTGGCATTCTCCCCCAATGGCGAGCGCATCGTCTCGGGCTCCTCCGACGGCACACTCAAAATCTGGGACGTGAACACAAGGCAGTCCATCGGCGAATCCACCGTCGACTCCGAGGTGAACTCTGTCGCCTTCTCACCCGACGGCAAGCACATCGTCTCCGGATCGGATGATGGAAAGGTCCGCATTTGGGACGCGGAGACGCACAGGACGATCCGAGAGCCGCCGGAAGGTCACGGTTACCCGGTTTTGGCAGTGGCATACTCACCCGATGGCAAACGCATCGTCTCGGGTTTGCTCGACGACTCAATCCGAGTCTGGGACGCGCAGACGGGAGAGACGGTTTTGGGTCCCTTGCGAGGGCACACCGATCCGGTTTACTCTGTAGCATTCTCGCCGGATGCCATCGGGAGGCGCATCGTCTCTGGCTCGGATGATGGTACGATCCGGATATGGGATGCGCAGACGAGAAGGACTGTGGTGGGGCCGTGGCAGGCGCATGGAGGATGGTCGGTTGTCCGGTCTGTCGCGTTCATGCCCGATGGCAAATGTGTCGTCTCTGGCGGCGACGACAACCTTGTGAAGGTGTGGGATGTAGAAGCGATGGAGGCTAATGCTTGAGTACGCACCCGCTCTGCTGCATGTGGATGTGGCTGACGTGACGTGGTGTCATAGAGCACGATGATTTTCGTGATATACATGTATCGCGAGCAGTTGTCTACGGTGTTTCCATTGCAGCCGGATGTGGCTTACGAGGCCAATAAGCTGCACGCTTTGGACTGATTGGACGAGAGTGGAGTGAGGCTGGGAGATAGTGGCAGCCTTTGTCGTACCCTGCCAGCGATATGTCAAGAATGCAATATGATGTTCGGACATGTGCGCGGTATTGACGAGTCTTTCATGTACTCGACGTGGGGTGTTGGCATGATCTATCACTCGGAGACGCAGGGCGGGTAATGAAGACGTGTACTCTGAGCAACTCGTAGATGAATGACTATGAACATCCTGTATAGCAAATTAACCTGGTCTACCGATATCGTCCGGTGGATGATGCGTACCAATACGAGGACCCGAAAGAGGGTCATGTTCTGCCACATGTATGGTCGTCCAGTGATCAGGTGCACAACGTTGCATCGGTAGGGGCCCGCTTTGACCGAGGTTCCGTTGATTAATTTGCGGATACGTCAGCTTCATCGTTTCCAAAACGAGAGGGCAACACGCGACGGCGACTGGGTGATTGACCTAGGGGCAACAGATGAAGTTGTGAGCGAAATACGTGGGGTGGTCCATCGGCGAAGAAAGCACTTGGTCCACAACGACGGAACGCCTCACGACCGTCGGTTGGATGAGCGATGTTCAGTTAGCGTCGGGAGGTGATCGATGGGCTGTGAACAGGCATCGGCGGAGACGCATGAGCACTAA